GGGAGAAGTTGCCTGATAGCAGGTAAATCGGGATGGGGAGGCTAGCCAGGGGGTTGCGGACTTTGCCCCAGGTACCAACTTTGTTGCTATAGCGCTGAGCGGTGGCACTGACAGCACAGAGCCAGGGTTTCCATGGAGACTGGCTTCAGCAGTGCTGACAGGGCATGCAGCTGGATGGGGAGCTGCTCTGGGGCTGGGACTGGCTGCAGTGGTGACTGTGGTTTGGAGCTGGGGCAGAGCCTCAATCCACTGCCAGTGCACCCCTGCCTGAGGCATGTGGGCAGCGGATCACAGCTCTGCCCTGGCTCCGGGTCACACTGTCACTGCTGCAAAAATCCCAGCCCTGGAGCAACTCCCTTCCAAGCTGCGTGCCCTGCCAATGCACTGCCGAAACCAACCTCCACGGAAACCCTGGAGCAGCACTGTCACGGCACCACCACTCCTGTTGTCTCCATGGAAACTGGCTGCATCGATGTGGGCAGGGGCTGCTGAGAAATGAAGTCCCCCCGCAGGCCTGATCCAGCGTATGGGCCAGACTTTGCCTGCTCTTGCTTTAAACTCTGTAAGGAAAATCATATAAACTTCAACAAAAATAGTGCATTTGCCGAGTTATCGATTTTCTAGGATATATGTTTGCCATTAGCTCAGTAGGACGTAACTGCAATACATCATTTTCCCAGTTGGTAGCAAATTCATATATCCAAACTTTGACTATTTAACTCATAGTCCCTTAGATTATTTTTGCAGGGTACTTGATTACTGGTATTGGTGGGCATGGCCTAAAAAATGTACAAAAGACCTGTGCTTCCTTGCGTGGGAGGGGCAACCACATAACCCACAAATCAGACTATAAGGACAGAATGCAGTTCACAAGGTCGAAAGTAGGTATCCTGAAGAAGATACCAGGCCTTCAAGCCTAGATAATAGTTTGTCCTAGAGGCTGAAGTCCTCAATATATTCTCAGGGATGTATGTGGTAGCCGTGTTGGCTTGAGACAAAAAGAAATGCAAAAATCTAGAACTCTTGGTTCCAAAATGATACCTTTTATTAGACCAACTGAGACATTGCAAAAAAAATATCCTTTTTCTGCAGGCTTTCGGGCTCATGCGCCCTTCACCAGGCTCAGGGAAAGTTCAAAATGGTAAAAAGTCCCCATATGTAGGAAATAAACTTCATTTTTGCACAGAGGAAGCAGAAGCTGGAAAAAATCTGTCCATGAGAGTCTCTTTGTGAGCTTGCTCTTTGTTGTGTAGATCAAGCAGGATTTCTTCCCTGGTGGTGTCAGATGACAGGCAAGGAGATGTAGAAGTCTGTGCAAAAATGAAGTTTATTCCATACATATGGGGACTTTTTGTGTCAGACCAACATGGCTACCACGTACATCCCTGAAACATGCAGGATGCCGAATTTTAGCCGATCTTGGATTATAAACTTCATTACTGAAAAACAAAAAAGAAGTGTAAAAATGAAGTTTATTTCCTACAGATATTTTTTCGCATTTCAATATATTCTCAGTACACATGGTAATTTTCGCTCCCTTCAGCTTTGAACCAAGAGGACAGTCCCTTGGTTTCTTCACTAGTTGACCATTGCTGAAGCTATGATAGTGATCTATTTAGGGCAGTAGACTGTTCTTAAAGACCATGGGCTCAAGACCAGGGTTCAAGCCCCTGTTCAGAATCAGATAATTGCCATCTCAGTACCATGCTGTACCTTACAAATCTTTCCACCAGGAGTTAATGAATGACTTTTTTGTGGGTTTTTTTCTGTCAGAAAACCTAAGCTCTGTCAAAAAAAAATCCTGTTGCCTTTCTACATCTCCATTTTCTCTATAAAATAGATTAAAAGAAAAAACTTACTTTGCTTTAGGAAGTGCACTAAGGATTTAGGATGAATAGTAATATAACCATCAACTGATTTAACTGCTACAAAACAACAAGATGGAGCTGGGCTACAGTCAAAGCAGCAACCTTACTGCAAAAAGGCCTTATTTCATATTATTCAAAGTAATCCATTCACAGTATTGAATCAACTGCAATGCTACATGCTGCAGGGGGGTGGGGGTTCTCTTTCATTTTTGCTTTAGTATTTAACAGCTACTAGGATATTTATTAAAATAAAATGTGAAAGCTGGACAACAAATATTTGTTGTAATAACAGCAACATTATAAAACTGATCAAGATCCTTCTTCCAAAGCAGGTTGTGCCTCTGTTTGTTTTTCTTGTTGAGTAGGGAATGGTCCCAAAGGATCTCCCTTTGGGAACTCTTGTCGCAGCACAAAATGAGTAACACGATTTATGTAGACACTGCCAGCTTCTTTTCCCTCTTAGATAGAAAAAGGCTTTATCTAGTCAGGTAATGTCACAATAAAATAGTACAGTAGAAATTTCATCACTGGATGGGCTAAGAGAGACAGATCACCCAATCTATATTTTCACAGGCTGTTTAAATGCTATGCTGTGCTAGGATGGGAATGAGCAGTAACAGTGGGGAAAAAAAAGAAAATTGAGACCACAACACAGCTTTTAAGCACAAAATATCTTGGTGGATTGATGATAACATTACCAAAGTTTGATAACAAAGGGGCGGGGGCAGGGGGGAACAAGACCTAGTCACATGTTTATTGGATTTAATAGACTGGTTCTATAATCTCTATTTTTCACTGACATTTCCAAGAACCACTCCATCGTTAGTATTTATTTGTGTGCAGGCTTATATGTATAGTTCTTACTAATGGGTACTTTCTAAAGAAAGGGGAAAAAATCAAGTTAGCAAAGTAACTTTAACCCCTGGGCTAGGGACAGACATTGAACATAAACCGGTTTAAGTGATCAGAAACTGGTTTAAACCTGTAACAGAACAGACATTCAGTGCACATAAACCAGCCGAAACCAGTGTGAGAAACACGGTTGCATGTAGTATCAGACCTAACTGATTTGACTAAAACCTGTTTATACAATGTCTGTCCAAGACCCCTTCCTGGTTTAAGTTAAACCAGAAAATCCCAGCATCCCAGCATGCTCTCTGGGCTGGGCTCTGCTCCAGAGAGCTGGGCTGCCCCTCCCCTCTGCTCTGTAGCCAGAGCAAGTGTGGGGCATGGCCAGACTCTGGCCTGCTATGTCCCCTGAAGCAAATTCCTCCCTCTGTCCCCTCTCCCCCCTGTGGACTGCAGCTGGGGTTTGCCAGCCAGTTGCACCTCCACAGCTTTCCTGCAGGCAGGCAGAGACTGAGTTAATTCCTCCTTCTGTCCAGCTTTCCAGCAGCTGGACAGGGGATTAATTCCACTGTGGTCCTGGAGTGGGGCAGAAAGGCTAGCTAGTCCCCTGTATGCAGATCCAAGGCCTGTATCTGTGAGCCCAGAGTTAAGACCTGCAGGACCAGACAGAGGTGAGAAGTGTTGGCAAAGACCTGACATTTATCACACATGTGCAGGAGATGGAGTTAAGGGAAACTGCAGACAACTTCTGGCTGGAAGTTGCAGACCAAAGAATGCAGAGAGCTACATTTACATTATAAAGCAGAATCTGTAAAACCTAAACAAAGCCTTTCTGAATGCCTGGCTGTAAGGAGACACTCTACCCTCAGGATTAGCAAGACTTATGCAAGGCTCTCTCTGGTCTTCCTGCTTTACATTTTAAGTTAGACTGAGTTGTGTATGCTGTGTTTTACTGGGCAGTATCTTAGCCCAGGTAAAGATTATTGGTAGTTCCCTGTTGTACGCTGTGCAAATTGCTGTGTTCAGTACCTGCTTGCTTCAGAGAAAGGACATTTTTCCCATCCCCACTCCTTGGTATGCAGCAGCTCCCCCCAACCCCAGCCACCCAGGCTAGTGGCTGGCATCCCGTGCATCCTGCTAGCCCTAGCTGGTGCCTGGCCATGCCCCCTCCACTCCAGCAGGGAGGGTGAGAGCCTTGGAGGGCGTCTCTCTTCCCTCCCCTTTGGCAGTGGCTGGCAGGCATGCTTTTGCTCTCTCCAGCTTCTGTCTTGAGCCACTTCATTTCCTGATGTGCCTGTATTTCCTGATTTAACAGAGAATGTCTGTCCAGTTATTAATCAGTTTAAGCTGCGCAGATTAGACTAACTTGGAAAGAGTGAATCAATTCAGGAGTAGGCTTTTTGAATGTTTGTCCCTAGCCCTGCAGACCAATAATCAACCTGTCTTCATTATGATGTGAGCACAGGTTCTTTATTAAATACATGCTGCCCCTAAACAGAGTCCTAATTCATGTGCACAAACCCCGCCCCCCTTCTCTTTCATTCTAGCATGATAATACTTCACATGTAAACCAGCTGGCCCATCTTGGACCATAGTTAGTTTATAACAGTGGTACTCAACCAAAATATGCCAAGAAGAACTCTCAGCCTTCTTCATTTATTGACAAATTTCTGCATATTTCTGTATCTGCAAAACTGTAGTAATACATTTTACATCAAAGCCTTACTCAGTTGTCATGTATTTTGGCATTTATGATGCTGAGCCATACCTTTAACCTTACCTTTCCACCCCCGTGCCCCCCAGCAAAGAATACTTTTGCAACAGAGAGAGCGCTTTTCCCTCCAGTCATAATGGTAATGTTCTACTATATTTAATCAGTTTCAAGTAGAGGTGGGCATGCATACATTTGCAATGAGAATAAATGTGGGGGGAGGGGGGGGGAAAAAAAAACAGTTGTATCATCATCTATAGAGAGATATTTTATTTATTTTTAACTAATGTTTACAAGTTCCCTTCCCACAAAAAGTACAAACTGATCTAAAATGAAATTACAAAAAAAGAAGTTAGTCTCAGCCAATTCAAGCAGCTATTGTGACTGATGTTATCTTTGCTTTTCAAAATTTTTGAATAATTCTTTAATTCTATCCATTATAAACATACATGTTCATGAAAAAAAACAACCATATTTTGGTAAGTGCATAAAATATTTATGCCTTTCAATGTCCCTACTATCCATTACTTTCTCTACCTAAAATTCATACAAATACACACATTTAAATGCATCTTATGACAAAACAACATGCAATTAACTTGTACATCACCAAGAATCCTTGTCAGGCACATGCTGCAAAGAGCTATCACTTTAAAACCATTCATACTGGTAATACTTGTCCCAAATTTGACAGCCAAGTCAAAAATGCAATAGTGTTGTTATCAATCAACATATGCAAATGATCTCATGACAGTTCCAGCTATATAACAGTTACCACCAACACATATATTGGTTACCACATTTCTTTCCTATTCTCAATATATTCCAAAAATCTCTCTTTCATTTTCCAGAAGAGGGTAAGGGGACAGTATCCTACAGGATAGATTCAATATCTTCCACTTTATTAAAGCTTTTTATCATACACCAAAAAATTTTCACAGGAACTCTGCCTCTGTAACTAACACTATGAAGCAAACAATCCTTACCCCAAAATGCACCTTTCCTATAATCCAAAAGGAGAAGAACCAGAGACATAGCCCACTAAGGAGTTTGACAAGAGAAGAGTTCTTATGTGGAAGGTACCTGGGGCTAGGGGTGGGGTCCGATTCCACCTTCCCCTGCCCCTAAAATCCCAAATCATCACATACATTAAAACCCTAAAGTGGACAGCATCAAATTACTATAAAAATGTTTTATGCTGGTATAGATAATTCTTGAGTTGCTGTGGTCAAGCACTTAGTATATTCCTGTTTAACTCAGGAAAAGGAGAATCTGGCCCCACAAACCTACCTTTACACAACGTTAACACAGAATTTTCATCAATTTAGCTACTTATAGCAACAAGAGACTTCTTTTATATGATGGAAGTTATATACAGGATGAAGGTACTTATGCCAAGACCTCTAATGCACTGGCAGATCTAGATGTTTGAAAAAGGTGTGTGTGTGTGTGTTGGGGGGGAATACTGTGAGGTGCACCATCATATAGAAAACATACTTTTTAAATTTTCCAGTTAAACATAAACTACAAGTTTTACTAGTATACCAGCGGTCTAGGGCTGTTTTATGCAGTTTCAAATGGAAGCAGAAACAAATATAACTTCACTGGAATGAGTGAAAAAAATCTGCAGGGCTGTGAAATAAGAGCTTCATTGCCAGGAACAGTTAACAGACAGCAGAAATGCAGAACAAAGGATAGTTTGAATGGTGGAACATCATGACCATTAAAAAGAAGAAAAGGTCATTAACGTCTGTGGAAAGAAGAGTTTAGAAGGTGTCAGGTAGATTACAGTGAGCCTCAAAGTCAGTGGACCCCCTCAGTACTGCCTAACTAGAACTGTTGCTACAGTCACTGCCAGGTAATCAGTTTTAAATGTTAGAGGGAGCAAGAATCAAAGGGCAGTGAAAATGTACCACTGCACCCTCCCTCCCCCTCCTCCACACCTGCTCTAATCTGTTCTTTACAGTAAGAACCAGACCAGTCTTATGGTGGAACCTCAAAGTTCTCATAC